TGCTCTGTGGTTCTGGAAGTGAACATCGTAAAGCAAACACACACTATGCCTTTTATTCTTGTTGAAATGTGCAGAATGTACAGTGGAGTGTGGTACAATAGCATAATTGTGTTTTTGAGTTGGAAGAGCAGAAGCATCTGAGCAGAATGCATGCCTTCTAACCTCATGAGATGATCCAGTTGTGAGCAAGGGCAGCTTGATTTCAAGGATGTAACTCAGCTGTTTGGCCTCTATTACAGCAGATTTGACTTCCTCACTATTAAAGTAATCACACCTCATATTATTTCTGCATTTTACTTCAGCCAACTTTAATGACCTTTCTTTCTGCAGGGCAATTAAAGGCAAAACTGTCCAAAATCCATTCCAGATGTATCTCAGCAGAATTCCTTGGTGGAACACAAATATACATTCAAGCTTGAGATGATAAACACGTGAAATGCCAACAGACAGCATGGCGTTAGCGGCCCTCTTCTGTTGTGTGACACACACAGCACCTCTTTTGTTCTGCCACTCACAGCTTCTGTTACTGTAGCCCTCTAATGCACACAGATCAATAACATACTTTCCATTTTAACACGTTGAGCTAATGTTCGGACACACGGTCGGAATTGATCCTGCTCCGTCAACACAAAGTTTTACGTTTATGTTTCTACTTCTCTTTGCAGACTTTTTCCAAATGATCAGTTCATGATCATGAAAATAATCTCAAAGATTAGCATTATGCTGGTTCCACGTGACGATAACTCTACAAAGGTGTGAGCTAGTGAATGGAAAACAACACAGGAAACATGCACAGTTTTAAATAACTTTTGAAATGTTGTAGCCTTTTTTAGGGATACACCGATACGATACTGGCATCGGCCGAGTTGGGTAAAAGTTAACCGATACCAGGAACCAATGCGGTTGCCTGAAAGTGGCTTAACTGCAACTTGTCATTTATAATAATGTTTTAGTTTTGTGATAATTCCTATTAATGCATTAAATTTTTTATCTACCTCACAGATTTTTTCCTGTTGAAAGCAGAGAAGAAAATAAAACCTGCATTCCAATTCATTACATTTTTTGTGTGTGGTAGAAGTAATCGGTATTCGTAATCGGTATCGGCGAGTACTCAGGTCCAAGTATCGGTATCGTATTGGTTTGCAAAAAAGTGGTACCGTTGCATATCCTTTTTTAAATGTGTTCTTTTGCACATGATGATTGATGACGGTATAATACTGTAACTCAGATAAAAGTATACAAACAGGACTAAAATGAAACACAGCTTCAGTAGAAATACAGCAAATGTTTCCTGTCCGCCCTTCCCCCACAGGAAGTCCACCACATGCTTGCACATTTAGATTAATAAAAGGTGTGACTATACCAAACACATAATAAAGACTTCTAATCTGCACTTGTAACACGACCACACACACACACAAGTACAGGAACTTGGGTGTTATTTTTTTTCAAACAGAGTAAACTTGTGAACTTTGCTGAACAGCTGTATGGAACAAGATGCTGATCTTAAAATTGCAGCAAAATGCACAACAACACTGAAAGTCCACGGACACTTGTTACCTGCCGTTACAGGTTGTGTAACAAATTTATGTTTGGCACAAACACCCAACTCAGAGTGTCAAAGCGCGTGGTCTTCACTGACAGCTCGGCGCAGCATGAACAGCAATTAGACACACCTCAGACAATTAAATCTGTCTGTTACAACCTCTGATCCCTCCCCTCCGTCGCTGATGACTGAAAACAAACACCAGGATGAGGCAGAACATTTGTTATTTTCTGGCCACAACTCATATAGCGGTCTTTTGAAATGATACACTGTAGGAGGATGGGCAGCCCACACAAGATAGTTGGTGCTCCTACTTCTGAGATAAAATGTCTTCAGCGATGAGAATAACGCCGCTTGGCTTGGTTGGATGAGCCAAACTGTCAGAAAGACGGAGACAGAGAGGGGAAGGCGCTAATCTCATTACCTTGTTCCCCTGGCACGAGAGAATAATCATTCCTCTGTGAAAATCGACAGGAGGGTGACGATGGGGAAATAAATAATGATTTAATTGCACACTCCACCATTTCATTTTCCATGTAATTAAATCAGTTAATATTATAAAAACATGTAAACTCCATAAATGACTTAGAGCCATTTGCATTTTTAATCAGACCAGATTAATTCTAATAAGCATGCTGGGTTAAGGCGATGACAGAACAGGCCTATTATGTGTCTGTCACACTCATTTAATTCTGTCATTATGCCCCATATCCTATTATGATAATTGACTTTTTATTCCCAATCAACAAGCAGTCAAGGTTATTAGGTAATAATCTCTGATTAGACCACTTTTAACCTGAAACGTGTCAGAAGTTTGTCGCCAATGAAGGCTCAAGCAGCTAAAATCAGAGATATTTAAAATCGCCGCGATGCTAGGCTTATCCAACCTGTCCACTTGCTCCCAATGACAAATGACTGTCAAGAGGTTTGATGTTGACACTTGGCTCTGGGTGTAAAGCAAACACGTTAGACAGAGGAAATGGGGATCTCATTCTTCCCACTGCAAAGTAGGTAAGCAGAGAAGATGAATGTGTCAAGTGTGTGAAGCTATTTCCTTTGGCCCCATTCCTCAAGAAGCCACACATTAAAACACGTTTTCAAAATCCCCACTGCTGTCAACCATTAGAAGTTTTCTGTCTTGAAGAAATGCAAAATGCCCACAACAAAGAGCTGAACAGCTAAAACCAAAGCTATAACAGCTATGATGATGTTAGCCAACCCATCTGGTAGCACCCCCCAAAAAGCATGTAGTGCATGAAATAGCTGCAGAGATGTAGGTCAGAGGATGCCAGTTGCACCAACAGTCATAATGCAGCATCCAAGCATGTGGTCGTGGGCATTCTTAGCCCTCAGTGCTACAGTTACAGTACTGACATGCTTACGTTTTATGGCATTTCTTTGAAATAGTCAAAATGTACCTTTCAGTTGTACTTCTCTGCTAACCACAATATAATTTTGAAGGTAACGGGTTCTTGCTGTGAAAACACAGGGTAGAAAACGCCCCAGAAGCTTTTAAATTTGAACCATTGAGTTTTAAATTACATGGCTATTTTCCGAAGACGTATTCTTCTAGTTGATTTAAATGAAACGAAGATTTTAACATGAATCATCCAGGAAAACAGTGACAAAAATATAGTTTTATTCATTGAATTTTCCAAACAAAGGCTGGATGCACTTCCCGGTATTTTACACTTCTAATGATTAATCTATCTTTAAATGTTGCTTTTACCAGGTTTACGTGTAGGTAGGCATGCCTTTTAGTCTTTACCTGTACATCGGGGACATTTTGGCCAAGTGAGGACATCAAGTCAGGTCACTTGGTAAACTTTCTACTAGTTTGTTTTAGAACTAGGATGTGAATTAAGTTATAGTTAAGGTTAGAGTTAGGAGTAGACTGGCAACAGTTAGGGTTAGAGTTAGGGTTAGGCAAGATTGTGTGTGTGTGTGTGTGTGTGTGTGTGTGTGTGTGTGTGTGTGTGTGTGTGTGTGTGTGTGTGTGTGTGTGTGTGTGTGTGTGTGCGTGCGTGTGTGCGTGCGTATGTGGACAGAATTAAAATGGAAAAAATGTCTTCCATTCAGTACTGTAAACAATGCCAGGAAAACGGTGGGGGCTGGGAGCGCTTTGCTCCAGGGGAGGGAACTAAACCTTTAACGTCCACAGCTTATTTTCTGTCCTCAACAAAACCATATTTTACTTGTGTGTCTAAAATCAGCATCAGGGCACAACAAGCTGACAATGATCTGGTACGACAGGTAGAGCGATCAACTTACAGAGTGCCATGTGAATGTATTTGTGGTTCTTTTGAGAAGTTATTAAAAAATGTTCTGCCTCAAAGTAAAAGAAAATAAGTACAACCTTGGAAACAGTCAGAAAACATAAGTTCTGCTTTATCAAACAGAGAAAACCTGATCTCAAGAGTTATATGTCTATCCTCCGCGCACAGCCCTGTCACCCACCCACAAGCAATTTCACTTTAACACTCTAGAGACCTAATAAACCTTTTCATTTCACAGTCAGACCTCATGAAAGCGCCTCACAATTTGCATTTTACTATTTATCTGTAAAGAAGACTTAATAAGTTCCCTCTTGAGTACACACGAGGTGAGCGTTACTATGGGGACGCAGAGTGCTTCTCTGTGCTTTGTGGCGCTGAGGTCTGCTCTATTGTGGCGAGAGACAACAGCTGTCTTTACCTTTGGCAGACAAACAGACTCATTAAGGGCGGCCATGTTTGTTTTTGTGCCTGATACCTAGCCCTGAGCAAACACTGCCATATCTCCACTCCACAGTCCTTGCAGTCTCAACATTTCCTTTCCCTATAGGGGAAGGAGACCCTGGCACACCGAGGCTGTCGTACTTTCTTTTCTTTTTTCCCCCCCACAACCTCTGAAAATGCTGCCAATTCCTTTCAAGAAATGCACGCTTAATTGAGAAATCTTGCAAGAAGTTCGAGTTAATGAAATGCTCACAAGTACTAAGCATGATGGAGGGATGTTGGTGTGAATGTTGTGTGTGTTTAATATGCATAATGTATGTCATTATGTTGCCTGATACCACATCTTCTGGTATGTTACAAGAAAAGACCTCTTTGTTTGTTGCGGAGAAGACAAAATAAAGGCGTCATTATTTGATTCGCTCACAGCTAACGCTCAAATCTGCAGTGAAAGGTTTCACTTGCATATTTTCTCCTCTCTCAGCAATGTCTGCGTCTTGACTGACAAGGCAGGTTGAATTCATGAGGCTTTGACAAAAATTCCATTTAAGAGGGAAAATGGCATTGAATGTCATTCCATTACTGCAGATGGCAAACATGGGAACACTCGAACCCAGGAGGCATTTATATTAACATACACAAAAAAGCAGACAGACCCTCTCCTTTCCCCTAGTTAAAAATACACCCAGCGCTGGAAAATTCTTGGCCCTTTAAGAGTAGTAGACCAAAAATGTACTCACTTATTTGATTTCATCTCTCTTCACCATTTGTCAGGACCAAAGTCACAATGCATTGTGAAATGAGTTCTTAATGTGGAGTAATGAGGCTGTCAAGGCAAAGGAGCCTCTGCTTGTTTGAGTTTGACTCATGCTGTAGATTCAATTAAATCAGCTGAAGTCAACTTGGCCCTGGGCCTGATCGGTAATGGCTGACCTCATTCGAACAATGCCCTGACATATTGAAACAATAAGAGGAAGGACATTGAGTCAGTTGCAGAAGCAAACTCCACTCAGACGCAATAAGGTAGAAAAATTTCAATGAAGTCACCCAAGTGTTTAAAAGCTCCATGTAGGCATGTGTATTTGGGGTAAGCTGGATTTATTTCATGCTTAAGTAACTTGTTTTAGGAAATCTTATAGAGAGACGGGTCCTTAAAGAAACAATGTGTAGTTTTTACCATATATTATAGGAACAATCTATAGAAACACTGTTGAAAATTAATAATTGATGTCCTAGGCGGCTTTGTACCATATAACCATAAAAATTGAGTCTAAAGTACATAGGGCGTGGTTCTAGCGTCTTTGGGGACGCCATACCAGACGCCACGTTTCCTTCTGGCTGGCTCGGGATCCTGCGCCTGCCAATGACATCACACTAGATGATTGGCTGGATGTACGACTTACGGAAGTTACTTCCCCCCACTCAAAACCATTTAGGTAGTAAGAAACATGAATTTGATAACAAAACTGCTAAACTCTTTCCAAAACCTATGTGAAAGAACAGAATCGAAAAAGAGATGCAATATATTTTGGTCGAGCGGTATTACTGTAGTATGATGGCGTCGTCAACAGGCGCAGGACCCCGAGCAGATCCAGAAACTACAGCGCCAGAAAACTACGATCGGCACTGCTTTCTATCAATGGAATTAACTGAAGGACCAATGTCTGAGGAGTCACGCCGAGGTCGCAGGCTTTCTGCTCCACGGGTAACAACGTTTACTGTAATGTTTTTAAACTAGCGACAGTCATGGCGATATGGTGTAAAACTACCCTGAAATGTATGTACTGCCCCCTTGTGGCAGGAAACTACACACTGCCGCTTAAAAGTGACGGTATGCATTTTTCCTGGCGATAGGGGCACAAGAGTTAAGTGCTCACCCCATAATCGGAAGGCTGTAGGTTCGAGCCCCGCTCAGTCTGTCGTTGTCGTTGTGTCCTTGGGCAAGACACCTAACCCAACTTGCCTGCTGGTGGTGGTCAGAGGGACCGGTGGCGCCAGTGCCCGGCAGCCTCTCTTCTGTCAATGTGCCCCAGGGCAACTGTGGCTACATCGTAGTTCATCCCCACCAGTGTGTGAATGTGTGTGTGAATGGGTGAATGACTGATTGTGTTGTAAAGCACCTTGAGGGGTTCCAGGACTCTAGAAGGCGCTATATCAAATACAGGCCATTTACCATTTACTTAGACCTGCGCCGATGTACTTTATACCCAACGTTTATGATTATATGTTACAAAGCCGCCAATATTTTTCCACAACTGAGCATCACCTAATGTTCAACAACATTTGATGGATATTTCCAGAGATACATGATAAAAGCTTAACATTATCTCAATAAGTTGAAAAATCCAAACCCGCTACGCATGCATGGGCTTTTAAATCTTATACTTATAGTCTTATACAGTAAAGAAACGACTAACATCTGTTTCACCAGAAGTTTTGAGGACCTTAACACATCCTCTGCCTGCAGTAAATGAAAACAGAGTTGCTTTAGGTGTAAAAGTACATAAAAGGCCTCAAACACAGCTGGATCGCTTCTTTGTTTAGAGGTTTACTTGTGCTTGGAGGTCTAAACTGATTTATTTGGATGATGAAATGCCTGGAATCTAAATCATGACACAAACACTCCCGAGGCAATGTAAACAACCTTTCCAGTTCCAGTCTACAAGCATATTTCTGAAATAAATAAATAAATAAATAACACAAACGCCAAAGGCAAAATCGCTTTTGACTTTAGTGGGGGTTTCCACCTAAAAGAGGGCGCTCCTTCACATGTCTAAGAGACAGTGTGTATCTCCAAAAGGCTTATCTTGCTCCTGCTGGGAATGTACATTCAGTGCATTTGCTAATTTTAAACTGCATTGAATATTTTTTCCCTGAGCAAATAAAGTTTGGCAAGACAAAAATGTCTCGAGTGTTTCGTGGAACAGAAATGAGGTAACCAAATCAAAACGGAACATCCTGTTTTACTTGCACTTGTTTTTCTATTCACCAGGGCAAAAGCAGTTACAGTAAACAGATAAAAGAGCACACACACACACACACACACACACACACACACACACACACACACACACACACACACACACACACACACACACACACACACACACACACACACACGCGCGAACAGGAACTGCTACTCGTTAAGCAACATTCCCTCCGGCCCTTACTCCATTAGAAATTAAGACTTGGCACAATTAGTGGCAGATTGGTCTCAGCTCAGTGCGCTGGAGTCACACTCTCAAGGCTCTAAGATGACTTAATTACAGGTACTTCTCCAAGCAATGTGTGAAAAGTGTGTGATGGAGCACACAGTGATCATGCTAAAGCAAGCCACAAGGTGCAAAACTAACTGCTGGGAACAGGATAGCCTTAAAGAAGAAGTCTACGACACAGATGTGTCTGCTGTGAGGAGGCGCATGGACTGTTGCTTATTTTAAAGGTGTGGGGCACTCGTTTAAAGAAAGAAAATTACATTTTATATAGTGTCTCTCAAGATAGAAGTCACGAGGCGCTTCACAAAAACAAAAAATTTCAAATATAAAAATGTTTTTTTTTTCATTATTTAAAAATATGTTTAAAATGACTAAAAATAAAACAATTTGTGATAAAAATGTAAGGAAAGGCAGAGAATATGAATAAGAGAGGGAAATCGGGGGATCCTGGGAAAGGTAGAAGAGGTAGAAGGAGAATAGGAGAGGGTGGTGACAAAGGTCACGCAATTAATCGATACTTTTGCAGTGGTCTCTAGCAGGAATGAGTGCCTTGCAAGTCGTACTTGGGAGAAAAAAGTGCAGCTGTTCTTGTTTCAGGTTCTTGAAGATCATCATCATCACAACAGGATTTGGAGTCTTACTTCCTGATGTTTAGACATCTCACCTCTGATTGGTTAACACAGGGCTGCCAACTCTCTTGCATTGAGTGTGGGACACATGCTTTTGACCCTCTTCACATGCTCTCATGCCACACGTCTTGCCATATCCTACACTGAAGGAGCAAAGCCCGCTGCTCCTCCACATCGAGGAGTCAGTTGAGGTGGCTTGGGCATCTGGTCAGGATGCCTGCTGGATGCCTCCCTGGTGAAGTTTTCTGGCACGTCCAACGGGGAGGAGACCTAAAGGGAGACCCAGGACACATTGGAGGGACTATGTTTCTCAGCAGGCCAGGGAATGCCTTGGGATTCCCTCGGGGGAGCTGGCTGAAGTGGGTGGGGAGAGGGAAGGCTAGGTCTCTTTGCGTAGGCTGCTGCCCATGAGACCCGACTCCGGATGAGCAGCTGAAAATGGATGGATGGATTTATTTTATATAAAAAGAGTAGAAAAGTGTCCACAAATCAAAATAGTTGGTAGTACTATTGCCTTTCAGCGAGAAGGTTGCAGGTTTGAATCCTCTTTGATCGGAGATAGCATGTATGCGTGGGTTTCTCTGGGTGCTCCGGTTTCCTCCCACATACCAGAAACATGTATACTTAGTTTATTTGAGGTCACTTTGGGTCATAGCATCAGTTAAATAAAAAACGTAAGAGATATACATGACTGCATAAATGAATCAGAACCGCACTAATGACTGATTATTATTGGTTTATAAGGTCAAACTCAGTAAAATACCACCACCACTCTGGATCCATATAACCAAGCATCTGCTCCTCAGTGCTGGAATGTAAGCACAGAAACAAGGTCTTTCATTACAATCTTGAAGGAAAATGGACAGCAAACGTATTTTTTATGCGTTTCATCACTCTGCTTACGACAAGGACACAAAGCACATTTTTTTGTAATTGAACCAACTGTAGTTTGTGTAATGACCGACCGTTCTGCCCTTCAAGCTGCAGGGAGACAAAAAGAGCGATGTGATCGCTCCGTGTACTCCCTTCTGTCACGTGACACCACGGCCCATTATATTGTGATGTTGCCATCGAATGTGAGGAAATGAAATGCCTTGGGGCTAATGTTGGCTGTGTGTGTGTGTGTGTGTGTGTGTGTGTGTGTGTGTGTGTGTGTGTGTGTGTGTGTGTGTGTGTGTGTGTGTGTGTGTGTAAGGAATTTAGAACAGCAAAAGTGAGTAAAGGTGACCTTGTTTAATTTTGCATTGTTTCGAAATGTACCTCAACTGTATTATTCTGCCAACTGGACATATTTTTATTCCGTTTGCTTTAAAAACAATCTTCTCAGACTTAAACCAATTACATTAATTAATAGCAGGAACATTTTTATTAAAAATTTCCAAATAATTATACAGCAGTGCAGCCTACCTGTGCCGTTCATCCATCATATTACATTATTCATTACTTTGTTTGAAGTTACTAACATGTTTATCAACATTTTGTATTAAGTATTAAATTCTCATATGAGGAACATTTATGACTTGACAACTGGTGATTAATGATTTAGCAACACATGCATCAGACTTTTGCTTTTGTTAACTACAGCAGTCCGTCCTTATTTACAGGGTTAACACTAAAGAGGATAAGGCAAGGTCAGGCAATGTGAAAAATGATCATAGGAGGTCTTTTTTTTTTTACAATGAAAACTATTCTATCACAATTCACCTTCAGTTTTAATTATAGTTGTTTTGTCCTCTTTAATGATCTACTGTACAACACACTGATGAGCAGAGCAGCCCTCAATGAAAATAAAGCATGAAATCCCATATATATGTGTGTGTGTGTGTGTGTGTGTGTGTGTGTGTGTGTGTGTGTGTGTGTGTGTGTATATATATATATATATATATATATATATATATATATATATATATATTAAAGCAATGAAAGGTAAAGCAATAGTGACAACAGGCCATGCAGAGACATCTACTTTGAAACAAGGCCATGGAAGAAGAAGTAACACATCATTAGGACTTTCCTTTATGAACACACTAAAGTAATCAGGCTTAGAGTGTGTTACATCTAAAATAATCCAGGCAGAAACGGTCCTTGAACATGCTCTGTTCTCTTACTAAACATGTCCTACACATCCCACCGTCTTTCTGCTTTGGCAAATCGTCAACACATTCAGATCCTTCATGAGCTAACATCATCAACACTATGTTAGGACACGTGTTTCTAACCCTAAACTCAACACAAACAGTGCACAACACACACAATTCACATGAAACCCTTTTAAGGTAAGCAAAAATAAATAATTTGCCCTTTGGGGAAATTACAAACTGGTTTTAAAGCAAAAACTCAACAGACTTGCAAAGAAAAAAACTGTCCGAGTCATTCAAATTAATTTAATGACTTGCCTTCCTTCCTCACCTGCCGTCAGCAGGATCACCTTCCACCCACCTCTTCATTTATCTACCTCCTCCCGTCTCTTCCTCAGGCCATATACTGTGATGCATAACACCCACATTAATCTGATCTTGTCATTATGTGCAGGCTTTAATCACACCAAATCTGTTAGACACTTCAGAACTGCTTAGAGATGACTTGTGTTGGTAGTTAGCTGGAAGAAATCCTGCATGCTGCTGTTAGCTTCTCACTAACAGCTGTACTTTATATGCACACAATCATATTAATCCAAATTAAGTCAAGTGTGTTTAAAAATGCACCAGAATTATTGAAGATAATAATATAGAATATAGAATAATTCCCATTTGGGAACAATCATTTGCACTTATAGCATCCCAACTGGTTGGCACTAACTCCAGTGACTTCATGTTCACTGCTAGACTTCATGCACTGAGACAAATTATGTAAATGACACTCAGTGTTTTGTCCTTAACAAAGAGATTCCAGAACATGATAAGGGAGATCAACCACTCCAACAGATTATGAACGTCAAAGAACTAAAACAGATTTTATCTGTCTGGATTCTTCAGTCTATTTCATTTCTTAAGTGTGGTCCTACTCTGCCACTAACCTAAAGTCTGCATTTCACTGAGCTGCAACTGTGGGCTACAAATTGTGAACAGTGAGGGAGTTTTCATAAAACGTTAAATATGCAAACAAAGGTGAGTTGCAGAGCCTCATCTATAGAAATGTGTTCTGAAACCTTCCTGGAACTGTCCTGTGTTTATTTTCCAGCAGTCCAAAAGTGGTAGTAATATGAAACAACTTTGGGAAAGGTTGGTGATCAAAGTGGGAACCGAATGAGGGTAAATGGTGAGCAAGCCTAAGCGTATTCATCGGGTTCTGCAGGAGCTGCTAATCACTCATTTTAACCAAATCTGCAGTGTTTAAAGCTGCACTACAGAGTTTCCCGTCCGGTTTTATTTATTATGCACTGTGATATTATAAGGGCAATACATTAAAGATGTGATTCACCGAAAAAAAATATTATTTCTGATTAGAATTGGTGACTACGTTTTTCA